TATAATCGAAAAAAAAACAACAAACAGTTTTTAAAAAATAGTCAATTTTCTATAATAATAACCAAAAATGGATCCATTTATAAATGTTTTAAAATAAACAAAAGCAAGTAGAATAATTATTATGTGGAGGAAAGTTGTGTTATATGAATTTGTTTTTTTTTTGTTTTTTAAAATCAAACATGTATCTTTAAGAGGACCGTCGAATTATTATTATTTTTTTCATCTCGTCTTAATCTACATGTTTATTACTTTTAATTCCCAATTTGTTTTTGTTTTTTAAACGTCCTTACAATAATTGCAGATTTCAAATGTTGACCGTAATGATGATTTAGTCACATAAATCGTACGTCGCTATTGTTTGAAATAAAATACGCTCCTGATTTTATTTCTAGAAAATAATGTTGAATAGATATGATATTTTATGTGAAAATTTATGTCAGAGAAGATATATTTCTCTACGAATTCTTGTTATTGATACAGAATGCTATCGATCATTTATAATAGTTCGAAAAGAAAAGAAGGATGATTTTTTTTCTTCTCACTATCAAATGATACGCAACAATACTTATTTTTGAAGTATCCTTAGGCATTCGTTCTTGGATGATAAGTACATTTGAGAACTGTTCATTACATTAGATAAGTACAATTTTCATTTTGTTGAACTTTTGTTTTTTAATGATGTTGTCGTTTTTTTATTACTATCCTTATTAATTTTCTACGAGATAATACTTCTTTATTTTTTGTATTAATTTATTAATATACGGAGATTAGTTTATATTCCCTCTTGACATAAAAAATGTCACTTTCATCTTTCTCTTATTGAATAATATCAAATCTTACAAGATCGAATAAGAAATGCGCACAACAGCACAGACAGATGTAGAAACTCGCTTTCTTTTTTATTTTTTTTTTGTTTTTCTTCGTTTATTATAGAAACTAACAATGACGCTAGAATAACTTATTAGTATGGTGAAAATTAAAAATAGGACTAAATAGAATTAAGACATATTTGACAGTGAATACTGTCTATTTTTGACATTTTTCAATTCAACAAAATAATCATTTTGTGCTAATTTGATTAAAATTGAAAGTGTTCTAACATTTTTTCAAGTTTAGATCAGAATAGACAAATTAAAACAAAGCTATAGAGTTTAGTTAGTACAACAATAACTTTAGGATATGATGGTCGTGATTATTATTGGGAAACATTTAAAGTCAAAAGGTGCTAACTAAAAGAAATACCTTTTTCATTTAGATACGAATTGTTTCATAAGTTCCTCGTATTTTTAATCATAACAATGACGACAGTAAAATGACAACGTCGTTTTTTACCAGGTCAAGTTGTTTATGATTGTCATGTCAATTATTTCCTGAACGTATGTAAACCTTCAATATGCATGAATTGTTGATTAAGAATAGATAATCGCGTGTTCATTAGAGATATTTTCATCTTCAAGTCGCTTTAATAGAACAAAAAGAGACTTCTATCGCTCTACACTAGAGAAAACAATTCTTTCTTTCTTTCTTTCTTTATATCCTTTCTCCTTCCTACTCTATGATACCTGATCGTACAAATTTGGAAAAAAGATTTGACCTTGTCTACGCTACGCAATCTTGATATGATACTCGCAATGTGATTATGAAAAAAGTTACGCGTGAACTAAACTTGTGTAAATGTAGTGTAGAGAAGGCCTTTCATGTCTCGGATAGAGCAGCTAGAAATGAACAATCTGTAATTCTTCTTCTATAAATACTTCAATTTATCTATAAATATACCTGGAGAAGCTAATATACTAAAATAAATAAAAGATAAGCTATTATACTACAAATACTAGAGTGAAATTGATCTACACACAAACTCTGACTCTGAATAGAAAATTTTTCAATATTTGAATAATAGAGTAGTTACAGCATCTCATCTCACATTCGAGACACTACTCACTTGAGAGATAACGAAAACAATGACACTAATGCATGAGAAAACATATGTCGTTAGAACTAATTATTATTTTTTTGCTTACATAAGCTGTGCTGTATATAAATATTACACCAGTAGATCAGAACAGCTAATCATTTTTGAAGGAAATGTTGTGTTTCCTCAGAAACTCTGTAGAACGACTAAAATTTGTCTCCTTATATGAGTGAGAAAAAAACTAGTTGTAAAAGTAGAATTTAGATAGAAAACCGAGGTTAAATGCGAGAAAAAAAAGAATTTGTCAGTCTTGTATGAGACTTAATATAACAAAATATATGTATCACATATATATTTTTAGACAAAACAATTATTGACATATTATACTGCGTAACATGTACGATTGTAGTGTAAATAGTACGAATGAAACTATGTTCACATGCACGTCTTATCTCTCACATTTCTTGCAATTGTGAGCGAGTTTACTATACGATAATGATGTGAAACATAAATTAGAGTGGCAATAAATGAATTAAGATGATATCTACATGTGAACGTGACTTTAGGGATCAATGAATAGATGATCGTCTGTAACATTATCGTACTCATTTTCTACGCTCTATATAAAATGTATATAAATTCAAACAAGTCATTTGGAGTATTCTAACTTTCTTTAATGCCTTTTCAGCTTTCAATCTAGTCTCATTTATGTTGTAAAAAGAAAGACGTATAGAGTTCTTAAACTAATTTAAATAATCTCGAAATAAATCCATAGACAAATCTAACATCCAAGTTTTCCCTACGTATGTTCTCAATTTCAGTTCTATTGGGAAAAAAATCTAGAATTTCAATGTTTACTACGTTATACAAGGAGTCTAGTTAGATTATCCGTTTATGCTCTTCTTTCTGTCTTCTTGTGAGAAAACACGTGGACAGTTGATAAAATGCTGAAGACTGAAGTTAAATCTTAAAAACCTTATAATTTCGTGTTTTGAAACACTGAGATTAGTAAATAAATATGATAAACTTGACAACAGTAATGGCAGATTGACAACAATATACCACCATTATTTTCATCACGTGATGTAACACAGTATTGAACAATAGGGAGAGAAAGAGTAGACTTTAGTTAGCATTAGATTTTTACTTATATATTATTAAGTGTTAAGTCTATTTTTGTCTAATCCAATTTTAGATTTCTTTACTCAAATTTGAATTAGTCCAGAAGAACCTACGTAGAATATCTATAACAATCTATATTATCGTAGTTTGACATTAAAAAGATTGTCTAACGCATAACGTAAATTTTATTCAGTTAAAAACATAATACACAAGTATTTATCAACCATCCTGTATCATGTCTATATGAATCTAAATAAAAATGTCCTAGACAATTGATAACAGTTATTTTTAGTCTGTTTTTTCCTAATTTGAGTCGAAGTCATACACAATGTGATGTTTGCTTAAAAAACGTAGCTACTTTTTCTCCTTAATTCAAATTTGACTGTAAAAGTTAAAAACTTTAAAATTGTATAGAGACTGTCGTCTTCTATTATATCTCTTTTTATCCTAAAAAAAAAGAAGTTTAAAATTTTTCTCGCTTGACTTTCTATTTTGGCTTTATGAGATAGTCACATTATAAGACTAGAATTGTAGATCTAACGGCTTATCAAAGAAAAGAAGAAAAGAATTAATTGGACTAGTTAGTCAAGAGAAGAACGACGATATATATATTTATATAATATTATATAGATGAAGTTGTTTTGCTATGAAAAATTTGAAAAATTCAAATATTTTCTTTCCTTTCTTTTTTTTTTTTATCGATTGTCGCCAGTAAAGATTAGACAAAGTGATTCAATCTGGCAAATACAATGGATCGTATATAGTCCAAAGTGGTATCTATATCATTCTATACTTATTCTGCTCAAAACTGTAGTCAAATATCGAGTTTGAAATAAAGATAAAGATGATTTTTTTTTCTTCTATTAACAATTTCACAATCAGAATATTTTGAAGTCACATAGTTCAACTTTTTTTATGTGTACGTAATACAATTGCTATTTAAATATTATTATTTTCCCAGTATATTTTATATGTAGAATACATAAATCTTTATAAATTGACAAGGTGATATTTGATAGTATTAGACACAACCTTTCTTTTCGTTTCTTCTCTTCGTCTTTTTCAATCTCAGTTTTTCTATAATGAAGATGTTCATCATTTAGAACGTTTCACTTTTCTCGAACATTATACTACAAAAAGAGAAGGAGAGAAGAATTATATTTTGTTCAAAGAAATAAATATAATTAATAGTCTAATAAATTAGAACTTAGTACTTAGAATTTAGTCTATTGAAGAAATATATATATATATATATATATCTATAGAAAATATAACAGACAACAACCAAACATTTTCTCTTTTTTTTTTTTGTTTTTTAGTTCGTTTTGGATTCTTTATTTTTTGGCTACTATTTTTATCCTTCCACTATGTTATGTTTTTTTGCTGTAAATTACTTGCATTTTTTTTTTCTGAAAAAAAAAGAAAGAAGAAAGAAAGAAACGTAGAATTGTAAAGTAGATATTTCTTTTTTTTGATTTTTTTTTTTTTCTACTGCGTTTTTTGTTCTCCTTGAAACTGAGCATGATACATGAGCCATATAGTTCCTTTTTTTGTATATTTAAACCAACAAAATCTATAGAATACAGACCACTAACAATTTTATGTAGCACATGATATATGAAATTCATTTAGGACCAACAAGTAAATATTTCTTTAATAATGGTGATAATAAGTAGAAAGTAATCATATGTAACTTCTGTATAAAAAGAAAAATAAATAAATCATAGAATTGAGAGAAAAAAAAGGTTAATAAATTGATGTTACTGAACGGAGATGTTTGACTTCTTTCTTTCTTTTATTTTTATTTATTTATTTTTTTTTTTATTAGCAAACATATTAATTTGTGCTTTATGCACTCTCATCAGATGTGATTTAGTTTTTTGTAAAATAAAATTCTTATTTTGTTTCTTTTCTATTTTAGAAATTTTTAATGAGACAAATAAATAATGTTTTATTTTGAATGTCGATGACCGGTATATCTCTGTTATCTAATGATCACCATCATAATGAAATAGAACCTGTCTCAGTATCATCGGTGAATCAATCATCTTTAAATAATATTGATAGTGATGATTCAGATAAAGAGTCTCATCAGTTACGACCATCAATTATAACAGCAACAACAACAGCTATTAGAAAACAAAAACAAATACATAAAAAAAAAGCATTTTTTAATGATGATAACAATAATCATCATTATGATGAAGAAAAAATATCAAATGATGATTCTTCTCTACTAAATGAATCACATAGACCAAATAATAATAATAATAGTCATGAACAATATCAATCATTTTTAACTATACCCAATCATAATAATCATTTAGTTAATATTAATTTAAATAATTCAAGTATAATATTACTTCAACAAGAACAACAATCAATTAATGAAGAAAATCAAACAAGTAAACCATTTAAAAGAAAAATGGTCTCATTTAGTACAATGCCATTTGAGAAAAAAGTTGCCGATGGTAAGAAAATTTTATACTTGATATTCTTAGAATGTTTTTTTTTTTATGCAGATCCTTCTTCTTACAAATCAATCTTTTAGTTTTCTTCTATCAGATCATATAATCACTGTTAAAAATAGGAGAATATCGATTGTTTTTAAGTTTGAGAAGCAACTCACTAATTCAATAAATTATTACACTTTTCGATTTATTGATATTCTTGTCTAACAAGCACTCATCACCGAAGCGTAAAATGAAATACTTGATTATAACATATATATTCAGATGAAAGAATGTTTAAATGTTTTGTTTTTTTTCGACTTTTTATCAGCAATACATCTTTTTCTTTTCATTTTTATTATTTGATATTTCTTGGACTTTGAAAGATTTCATTGATCTATTCAAAACGTCATTTTACAATTAGATTTAAAATTTATTTTTACCAAAAAAATTATATTGAATTGTTTTCTTCTTTTTTTTTAAAAGTTTCACTGTTATGACTATATAAAATTGTTTTTATCGTCTCAATCTCAAGAAATATATTCCAAAAAATCACTCCTGTTGTGTCTTATTTTCTTTTGATTTGAAAATATATGTTAGAATTGATACATAGAGATTAATTTTTCTCTTTTATGTTTTTTTTTTCCCTATTCTAACTTCGTTTCCGATTGTTGCTTTTTACTTTGAATAAATTTTTAATTAAGAAAGAGAAAAGAAGAAGAAAAACGAATAACGCACATTAATTTCCTGTTAAAGACAATAGAATGATGTTTGATTTTTCATGAAATACTATTTGAATAATGTTGTTGGCAAGTAAATGATGTATGCACGGACATTTAAATAAAAAAAAGAAAAATGGCAATTATTCTCGATTATTAGATCATAGAGTGTTGAAATTTCGAAAACTAAAAAGTCAATATAAAATCTTAGTAAATAATAATTTTTAGTTAATGTCTAATCCCTTATGATTTCAAAATTAATCTTTAACATTTTTATTCTTAAAATAAATGTATTAAAAAAATTTAATTTGTATTAAAGATGTATACATATCTTTAATTACAATTATAAAAATAAATTTGTTTCTACTTATTCTTCGATACATCCTATTTTACATTATAAAAAGTTTTATTAAATTTTTTTAATTAAGCACACAAAACTATATATATATGTTATTTCTTTTAGTCTGCGATTGTTTACGCTATATGCAAGCTGGAAGTGATTTTCTTAAAGTTCGTTCGTATGCCAGACAATTTCGACGTTTTTATAAATTAAATGAAAATTTTACGGCAATTAGTTGGCAACCAACATCAAAAAAACTGTCAAAAGCAATAAGTATAAATTATTTTTATCATTTGTATCTTACTTTTATTTAATTATTGGTTTTATAATTTTGTTTATTTAGTTAGTGTTGATTCAATAAAAGAAATACGATCAGGAAAAACAACTGATCGTTTACGTGAATATGCAAATCATTTTCAAAGTGAATGTTTATTTTCAATTATATACACAAATGGGAGTGATGAATGTGCTTCACTCGATCTGGTAGCGAGTAATTCAGATGAAGCAAATATTTGGACAACCGGTCTTTCTTGTCTTATACAACAGAATCAAAATCAAACATCACCAACTGATGTTCGAACATTAGAAGATCGACAACAAATGAGAGATAGATGGTTAAGAGACGCATTTCAATTAGGTACACCAACAACAACAACAACAGTTGAGAATAATTTATTAGATGAAGATGAAGCATTAAGATTATTAGTGGATTATGGAATAGCGGAAGATAAAGCAAAAGTTCGATTACAAGTAAGAAATAATGAAATCGAACATTATAAAACGGAATTATATATGATTTCATTTTGTCTAGGAAATTCAACGATGTAAAATCGATAATAATCGTCGTGGTTGTTTTACAACTGAACAATTAGTGCAGATATTTAAAGAACTATCAACAAGACCTGAAATTTATCATTTATTAGTCAGGTAATATAAATATTTTTATTGAATAAAAAATTTTTTATTCAATATTTTTATCATTTAGATATTCTCAGAATCAAGATTTTTTATCGTTACAAGATTTAATCTTATTTCTTGAAGTCGAACAAGGAATGGCTAAAGTAACAAAAGAAAAATGTTCAGAAATCATTAACGAATTTGAACCATCTATAGAAGCTAAACAAGCAGGACATCTTGGTATTGATGGTTTTACAGCGTATCTACTCTCACCTGAATGTGATATATTCGATCCTGATCATCGTACAATATGTCAAGATATGGATCAACCATTAAATAATTATTTTATTGCTACATCTCATAACACGTAAGAGATAGATTGATATACTATTTTATCCATTTCATTTTTACATAGATATTTTTTTAATTTTTTGATAAGAAAAATTTGACTTTTAGAGATGAAAGTTTTCCTAGAAAATTTCCCGAAAACTTAATATTAATTTGTTCATCTACTACGAAGGTTATTTTTTCTTACCATGGCAACAGATTGAACATTTTTCACTTTATATTTGTTTGAATTATGAGTAAAATAGAAATTTTTCAGTTTTTAATGTTACTTCACTTATTCGGGTACCAGTTCTGAGGCTTGCGAAACATTTGATGCCTAGTGTAAACATTTGAAAACACAAAGATTCTATTTGAGTGTTCTATTTTACAACAAAAAACAAAAACCCACTTCTGACTATCTATCGATGAAAAAAAAAAAAATCAAAATACTTGTATAAAAATTTTTCGATTAGTCGAACAGACCCTCTCTCTAAAACTCGATTTCTAAAAAAAGAAATGTCTTTTTTTATCAAACTTATTTGTCATCAATATATTTTAGATTTTTATTAACTGATCAACTAAAAGGACCATCAAGTGTTGATGGTTTTATTCATGCACTTATGCGTGGTTGTCGATGTTTAGAAATTCATTGTTATGATGGACAAGATAATAATGAACCATTAATACATAATGGAACATTAACTTCTAAAATACCATTTGCTGATACAATTGAAATGATAAATAATTATGCGTTTGAAACATCTAGGTTAATATATATTTAAAAATAATTTGTATTTTTTTTAATTAATTTTATATTTTTCGTTTTAGTTATCCATTAATATTATGTATAGAAAATCATTGTAGTCTTCCACAACAAGATCGTTTAGCTGAATTATTAATAAATGTATTTGGTGATAAATTATATATACAAAGTATAGATGAACGATTACCATCGCCAAATCAATTGAAAGGAAAAGTATTAATTAAAGTATGTATTATTATGTATATTTATATAATGATAAAAAAAAAAAAATGATATTTTCTATTTAATAGAGTAGAAAATTACCATTAAATTCAAATATTATTGATTATGGTGAAATCACTGATGATGATGATTGTTATGAAGATAATAAACGACGAATAAAAAAGGTAATATATTCATTTTTCAATTTATTATTATTCTAACTTATTAATTTATTTTTTCTTCCTTTTTTAAGGATAACATCACTACACCAAAACGTCGAAAATTATCAAAAGCATTTTCTGATTTAGTATCAATACTTCAATCAGTGCTTTTTGAAGATTTTAATTCATCATTTACTAAACGTATGTAGAAATTATTGTACTGATTAAAATTGATTATTTTGGTTTCGTTTTTTATTTTTATTTTATAGAACGTTGTGAACAAATATGTACATTTAGTGAAAATGCCGCATTGCGTTTGGTTACTAGCGATGCTGAAGATTTTGTTAGTTATAATAAACGTTTTCTATCGAGAGTATTACCGGGAACATGGCGAGTTGACTCATCAAATTTAAATCCACAAGATTTTTTTAATGTTGGATGTCAATTAGGTGAGTAAAAATATGTTGTTAATAAAATAATAAATTATTTTAAAAGAATCTATTTTTAGTTGCCATGAATTATCAGACAGCTGGTAAATTTATGGATGTTTATTTTGGTCGATTTTTATCTAACGGTAGTTGTGGTTATATTTTAAAACCACCTTATTTAAGAGATGATAATTCATCTTATGGTAACGGTAACAATGGGACTAGTAGTATTGCACGTACGTCAAATTTATATTCATCAAACACATCACAAGTTTTGCATGTCAAAGTAAGATTTTTGCCATTATCTCTTTTTTTTTCTTTTTTTTTTTAATTTTATGAATATAATACATAGAAATGTCACTTTAATCCTATTTTTTTTTTCTTAATTCTTTGATCGAATAAAGTGATATTAAATATATTACTCTAATATTAGATAATATACAAACATATTACTCTATTCGATAAAGTAATAGTGACATATATGTTTTTTTTGCAGAAAAAAAATTTTTTTTTTTAGATATACCCAGTGAAATAGAATAGTTCTATTCTAATATGTATATCTATTACTATTGTATTTTATTAAGAAATATTTAGTTTTGCTTTAACTGAGAAGATGATCTCTATACATGACAAAACGTTCTTCTTAAAAATGACAGAGAGAGAGAGAGAGAAAAAAAGAAGAAAAAAAAATCACAATCCATCCAAATGTTGAGAAACTGAGAATATTCACTGTGATATAGTGAATTATAGACAGATATAAAGATTAAAAATGTAAAATAGTAAAAAAACAAAAAAAAAATGATTTTCATTACATGATGTAAAATAGATGAAGTGAGAAAGTTTTAACTATCAAGAATATTTTGCCAAAAAAAAAAAAGAAGAAGAAGAATTTCTCAGATAGTTAGTTATACAGAAAAATGTCTTATGTAATAAGTGTTATTTCTATAATTAAATAGTACCTGCCGATTTTTTTTCTGAAGAAAAATGTTCTTTTTATAGAACTTAAAATTAACACGAAATAGACCCGTTATAGAAAAGACAATTATCTCTTCGAAAATATATTATTATTGTATGTGTATGTGCATCAATCGAAACAAAGCTTAAAATATTTTTTTTTTTTCATAAAAAGAAAAAAACAAAAAAAAGAGAAAAGAAATAACTAATTTTTGCCGTAGGAAACATTTCATCACATCTCACTGACATAGATAAAACATTGTCATTTGTCCACGAAGTAAAATAATTGATTAAAAAAAGAAAGAATAATAATAAAACAAAAAAATATTTTTATTTTCAATTTATTTTGACCTAAATGTGTTCATTTTATCTCGACTTTTGTTTAAAAAAAAAAGAAAAAGTCAGATGTAACAAGTCATTCTTTATCTTTGTTACAATTTTGTTTAAAAAATTATTAGAAAAAGGTGGCAAAAATTCATTTCAAATAGAGAAAACACAATTAGTCTGTTAAATCAATTAGATTTTTTTCTCTCTGTCTTCAAGACTAAAATGTGGCAAGCAGGTAGAAATTGTTTAAAAACAAAAAAAAAAATTTTTTTCTGCAAAAATAATATATTAATTTAAACATTGTAAATGAATAATAAAAATGATATTCTTTTAGTACATAAAATTTATTTATTTAGATAATTAGTGCACTTCATTTGCCACGTCCTGAACAAGCTGAAATGAAAGCAAATAGTGTTGATCCATATGTTGTTGTACAAATATTTGGTGCACCAAGAGATTGTGATGAAATTCGAACAAAAACTGTTTATCATAATTGTAAATAATAAAATTTAATATTAATTAGTGAATAAAATAAATTTATAATAAATTAAATTTATTTTAGGGGATAATCCACGTTTTGATGAAAGTTTTGAATTTGAAATTACATTTCCAGAATTGACACTTGTTCGTTTTGTGGTATTAGATGATGAATCATTAGATTATGATTTTATTGGACAATATACCCTTCCATTTGAATGTATTCAACCAGGTATATGTATAAAATGTCATTTCTCATTGAATTATTCAAATTATGAAATTAGTTTTGAATCAATGATAACTGATTTTTTTTAGGTTATCGTCATGTTCATTTGTATACAATTGGTGGAGAATTAATTTCAAATGCATTTCTATTCATTCATATTGTTATTTGTAGTAAATCATTAGCCGTAGTATGTATAAAATAATACTGATCATATTTTTTTGTTTATTTTATACATTTTTTGTTGTTTTATTTTCTTCTCTATTTCAATAGAAATCTCGTCGTTCTCTATCACGTTATCGTCATTCGTTAACACGACGTAAAACACGTGTAGCAGCATTTAGACAAGTAAATTATAAACAAATCGATGAATTATTTAAAGTAATTATAATCTTCTATATTAATCATTCTATTACAATTATTGTTTATATCCATTTTTCTAGTCTATTATTCAACCGTTAGAAACAGCATTTGAATTACGTCATGATGTTGAACAAAGTCTTCTTGAATTAAATATTAGTTGTGGTTTACCAGAAATATCAAATGTTAAACAATGTATTAGAAAAATAGCTAGTCGATTACAAAAAGCAAATTTAATGGAAAATGTCAAAATTATTAATAAAACTGATGTAAATTATTTTTCTTATTTTACTTAATTACATTGAAATTTCGTTCTTAAATTTTGATATCATCTAATGTCTGTAGAAATTTCATGGTCAATTTGATATTTGAATTTTTTTTCTTTAGATACCTATATTAGAATATTCCGGTACATTACCAGAATTATCTCGTCAATCTGTTGCTGCATTAGAAGAAGTAAGATACTATTTATTCTTACTTTATTCATCTATATATATAATCTTGATTTTGAAGGTAATAACACGTTGTCGAGCATTATCTGAAAATGGTATTATGATACTTAAAAAGGTAAACTCTACAAAGTTATATATATATATATATTATTGATATTAGAAATTTTTCATTTTATATTTGAGTTAACTGCTGCTCAAACGGAATTATGTGAATTTAATAAAGATTTACCAAAATTATTAGATCCAAATCAATTAAAAACAAAAAAGATCACAAAAAATATTGATAATTTTTCATATAATATGGCTTTATTACAAGGACAAGCAGATCTATTGAAAAAAGCGAAACAAGATGCAAATATTACAATACGTCAGGTAATATTTGTAATCATTCAATTCTTCATTTTAATATGTAATTTAAATTTATTCATTTATATAGGTACTTGATGCAGCTGAAGCAACACATTTACTACAGTGCTGAGTTCGCTTTTTTTTATTTTTTATTATCTTCTTGCAGAAGGAAATGACAATTTTAACCATGATACACTGATTTATATACCGGTGTTCTCTTTCTTCTATCTTTTCTTCCCATTTATTTTTGTTTTCACTTATAATTAATATTTATGTGACAGAAATGTCTATAGTTTTTTGTTTTCATCTCTCTTTTCATATTTTTATTGATTGTTGACTTTTTACAAATGTCTATTTAAATAAGATAATATTTTTATTATTTTTTACGTATAAAGTATAAAATAAACTATTCATTTATGGGATATGATATCTAAGTAGAATATACTAGCCTATCTAGAAAAGAAAACACAAATGGTGTTTATTCAAATTATGATTAGATCAGACATCCATCAAAGGATGTTATGAAAGATTGACTGATATGTCACTTTAAAAATAATCATTAACATAAACAGTTTTAATAATTAACAATTTATTTTGAATCATCTTTTTAAAATATTTTTAAACATAATAGAAGTTGATAATTAACGACATTTTTTTACAGAAGTTATTGATCACTTGGCAGTTCAAAAAGTGTTTGTTCATTGCTTTATTGGCGCTGAGCCAACGTCTACATTTTTGTTTTTGTACATAATCGAAAAACAAAAAGGAATTTCAGAGAAGATGATCATTTGTCCGATGTATTCAACGATGACAGTGGCAAGTAAAATGAGCAATTGAGAGTGAAGTTTTGTAATGCAATGAAGAAAGAGTGGATATGTGAGTAAGAAGGTGCTGACAATTCAAAATTTTATCAAAATTTTTTTTTTACGATCTTTATAGATGGTTGGATAGAGCGCATCGAGCTGAGTATAAAAAGATGGTTTTTAATTTTACAAACTCATTTTTAAAAGAGAAAAATTAAAAAAACTGAAACTTTTAAATTCAATAAAAGCCGTTGAATTTTCCAAAAAAACGAAAATTTTCCATCTTATAGTTTCGTCTAATCTTCGAATATATTTTATTCGGATTCAGGATCCACAATTGAGTATATAAACAATGTTTAATCGACTTCAAACTGATAAATCAGTCGATCCTAGGGGTCTAAAGTCCATCCATTAAAAACGTCCTGGATAATTTGCAAACCCATCAAATTTTTTTGAAAAGGAGATGAAGCCAATTTTTATACTTTATTCTGCCTGTCAGATAACAGAGAAAAAAAAGTATGCATGTTTCTTTTTAATATCGTTCGGTCGCTAAGAAAATTCATTTTTTCTAAGTCAGGAGCGAAAAAAATCGAAATTCTGCCCGTACTTCTCAATTTTCTCCATTAGAACTCAACTTTTATACAATATAATATTCAGAATCAGTGTCAAAAGCTGATTTGAACGATGTACATTTCTATCCTATCTGACCACTTTATTTTTTTTTGAGTTTTCACGTCAAAAAATTAGTGAGATTTTCACCAAAGCTCGATGTGCTCTATCCAACTATGTAGAAATAAATGGGAAACAAATCTTACTTGAACTTTAAATTTCCGGTAACTTACCGTCCACTTCAAAAAAATAGTGCAGAAAACTCTTTTTGGAATAATGTTTGAGAGAAAACAAGACAATTGAGTTTGATGCACTCATCTGAAAGGAAGAAGAAAGATACCTCGCCTTGCGGTTATCGGTGCCAAAATGTTCCCTATAGTTATAATCTTTGAATGTGGGGAATTATACGTTTACTAGTTATCAAATTACAGCTCTAGGCAGAATTCATAGGAACAATAGAACAGTACAGAACGTTATGGACCTGTAGAGTAGTCTGACAGTCTACTTAAGTCAGCAAAATAGTTACATATTCGTTCAGAATAACTCTTGCTAATTGAAACTGAAATAATACCATATTTTTAATAATTCGGCATACACCACTGGACGTATTATTGTTACAAAAAAATGTGTCCTGAATATATGCCTGTTGATCTCAAGGACGTATCCACGTTAATTATCAATGAAAGAGAATGGTTGCTTAAGCCATTCCTCCTTGCAAAATACACCACTTCTTTAGTGAGAATAATGATATTTTTATTTTTTTCTTGTTGTAACCCTACTAAAAAAAATTTTGTCGGCATCGGTTGTGCATGAGTGTGTACTCATGCACCAAATAAATTTTCTTCTGAACATCGATGCACACGAGTGCGAGATTTTTAGATTCTTCCGGAACCATTCTACCTCGATGCCATAAAAAATAATTTTGTCTTGCACCGATGCCAAGTTTCTTTTTCAATCATTATTTTGTTTTGTTATTGTTCGTGTATAAACACCATAGTATACTTGTAATATTTCGAATATCTTTTCGGCTCACGTCGTTTACTTCTCATAAGAGAAGTGTTAAGGTAGTGCCGTATGATTATGGCATGGGCTGCGCGCCCGTGCCCATCACCGATGTCGAGTCTTTTTTGTGCAATGCTGCGTCGAATTTTTTTTATAGAGTGGCACTGGAACAAAATCATGCTGTATTGAATCTAACCCTTTCCAGCCGGCTGTTTCGAAAACACAGCAAAAAGTGTTGCCAAATGGCAACATCAGGCTGGAAAGGGCTAACAATACGGCATCGTTGATTTGACATCGAAAATGATTTGATGTTTGCTGTTATCAGAACTAGGTATGTATCAATTCTTTTTTGAAGACTATTGAAAAATATGTCTAGTTCTAAGTCATCATCGCCTGCGAACGAACAATCTGGGTTTGTAGGCGACAATAAATTGTTTTCGGAGTCATTTGGAAACGCAATTCGGATGACTAGTCCTGAAAAGCTTTACCAGAGCCCATCTTACCCTAGTAAAAATCTTAGACACTTCTTAAAATTATCTTACTAAGATCTTATCCTTTAAGATTTTGATAAGATAATCTAAGATCTTATTGTTTAAGATCTTACTAAGATTTAATGACTCTACTTTCATTGACCCCTTTGTTTTGCTCTCATTCATCTATATAAGTAACCGAAAATATGAGTGATTATACAGTTATTTTTCTTCCAGACTCTGCTAGTACGTGCTCTCTCGAAAGTGTTCAACAACTTTTTAGAGTGTATCAATCATGCCGATCAAGTTCCATAGTTGGACACCTGAAAATATGAAATTTCTCTTCATTCTTCAACACTGTTCAACTGCTGCTTTGGATAATGCGGATTAAAACTTGAAAAATTTTCAGTAAATCTCGAATGAATATTATTTAAAAAATGTAATCGTTCGTACTATTAAGATTCTAATACATTCTTATCCAATCTTGAAAAAGTCTCAGACAGTGTAATCTTAGTAAGATCTTAGTGAGATTTCGCTTACATTTGCTAAGATCCTAGAAAAATTGTATCAATCTTAGAATTTTCAGGTCTCACGATCTTTGTAAGATTTGTTACGACAGATCTTTCCCAAGTGGTAAATCGCTTTTTGAACGAAACCTAGCGGATTATAGGTTATCGATGATGCTGAATCCGAATATCAACATGAGACCTGCTGCTAGGCCTTCCAAGTACCGCTTTCCTGGAAAACCAGTTTTTCAAAAACTCTAAAAAACAACCAAAGCCTTGCTTGATGAGGCATAATTGTAAGCCGCACATTTCTGACTAAAATGAGACATCTCCCAGCTCTACACGACCTTTTTTGCAAAGAATGTATAGAATTTACAAGAAAACCCTAAAATGTTCATTGTCAGCTCAAAACTACAGAAATAAGAAGAAATTAATTTACGGCTTTTCTTGTAAATTGTATAATTTTGCAAAGAAAGGTCTTGTAGAGCTGGAAGACGTTTCATTTTAACCAGAAAGAAAGACCAATTCTAGAATTGGTGCATGCCTAATCTGAACTATACACCAATTATTAATTAGAATTATGCTTTTTATTTGACAAAAAAAAAATTATTGTGAATAATATACATCTCATTTATGTGATAATTTGTTTTAAATCCTTTATGCATGCAGTATCGAGTTTAGTTAATTACTGATGGACAAATTGCTTTTCGTAGTCTTTTTGAATATTAAATTAATTAATCAATGAATCATCTTGTTTAAGTAAGTCGGCTAACATCGAAATATAATTACAAGCTGTTCGCAATGTTTCAATTCGTGATAATTTAAATTTATTTTCAACAGGTAATACATAACGTAATTGAGAATAGGCTCTATTTAATTTTAGCATTCGATGTTTTTCACGTACAGTTGCTTCTTCACGCTGAATAGTATTTAATTTTCGTTTTTTACGATAATTGGACGATAATTTTGTTTGTTTAGTTGTATCTGTTGATGATAAATATAAGGACATCTGTTGTCGATGTTCATCAAATAGAGAATTTGTTGAATTATCTAACGGCGAGAATAATATTTCATCACAACTAAATGAATTATCCATTAAAAATTGAAAAAAATTAATAAAGTTTAAATTAATGTGCAGATGTAAAATACACAGTATTTTATCATTTTTGCATGAAACATTTTTTAATGAAAACTAGCAACTGAAGAATTTTAACTTAGATTGACTAGATTAAATCATATGTGAATCGATAAAATACTTGTTACATATACAAAAATGATTGCCCGACTCACATTCATATGAAAGAATATAATTAAAGACTGATTTATTTTGTACTAGTATAATATTTTTGCGTTTTACTTCTTTTTTTCTTATAACTATAAGATATACATAGTTTTTTTGATTTTAGAAAAAGAATCTTTTTCTTCTTTGTGTCTGCAATTTACTATTGTAATTTGTGTTTTCCTACTATTTGATTGTATTCACCTAATATTACAATACTTCTAATGTTGATAAACGCGTCATTGCACGATTAATGAACTGTGACTTTTATAAGAAGAAATGAAAGTAAGTTATTGGAATTGATAAAAAAAAATGTTAATAGATTGTACATCGTCCTACTCAATGTATATAACTTGTATATTAAAAGAAAATAGCTGAATTGAATGTTAAAATGTTGAGTTTTCTTGATAAGTCGTCAAAATGCTGTTTGAAGAATAAAAATAATTCTTTTGAATAGATATTTGTGAAAAGGAGTGAAAATTTTTCAATAACTAGTAATGATAAGTGTTATTTAAAAAGAAAAGTTAATAAATATAGTAAACATCTGACGTATAATGAGAAGCTAAGCAGATATTGAATAAAAAAAAGTAAAGAAATTTCTTACTTAGTTTTTCTTATTGGTTAGTATACCTATTTCTCATATTAGTATTTGAACGATGAAAAAGCTTACTCTATAAAATTGACTAGAAAAAAAATGCTCCGGATGATCAAAGTAGAAATTTCTTTTTGCACTAAAAACGGGTGCTAAGATCAAAACTGATTCTAAGGATAAAGACTGATGTTTTCGCTACATTTTGGACAAAACAAATCTCAATTACATGTAAACGTTACTGAGAGAAAGAATTGTTGCTAACAAAAGTTTTGAACAACAGTCATTCCCTTTCTAAGAAAGATATACATTTGATCATCAAAAACAACAAAGAAACGCATTTTGATAATCAATTTTGAAACATAAATGATAACCCAAAAAAGTTCAAACTGTTTGTCTGACCAACATACAAAAATATGTGAAATATGAAGAAAAACATGTATTTACAAATGCAAAGTTGTGCTGACTTTCTTTGAATACCGTTAACTTTTTGTTTTCTTAATAATTGAACCAACCTAACGTTGCCTACTATTGTTATATAGTGTACGTTGCTTGAGTACTAAATTATCTATTTAAAATGTTTTTTCCACGGCAAAAAATTTCATCGAGATCAGTTAATTTTGACAAAAACTAAAAGTTTACAACACAAGTTGAATATTTTAATTAGAATAGAGCCTTTGTTGACATACAAAGTCGGATAATTTATATATCCGTTTTTTCATAAATATTATGAAAAAACGAAAATATAAACAAGTTGAACAAGTTTTTTCTATGTTCGGATACTATTTTGAGACGTAAAGAGTCAAGAATTTTTGATGGTAAACTGTCAACCTGACGAGATACGGTCACGTTATCTCTTGAGACTACGTTGAAAAAATACCAGCAGTACTCCTGAACAAAAACTTGTTAAACTTCATTACTAACTCGAAACCAATTAGATTTGTAAAGAACCATAACACGCTTCCCATCAACTGCTTCTCTCTCCTTTTTCCTTTCCAGCCAGTGATATTTCTTCTATTTTTTTTCTTATCGACACACACTCTCCAGTTGAATCAAACAGGAGTGCAGCTTATGAAATATATGAATATATGAAGTTTTCAAAACCCATTTGTCGTTGTTTAAAACTTGACATCGTTTCCTTGACAATTGTACTCATATTTACAACATCAGGTAACGAGTTATCATCAAAAATTTTGAGAGATGCTTTTCTCCTGTAGGATTTCAAGAACTCAAGAGATTTGCTGTGTAGAAGGCAGAGGAACCAAACAATACCTGAAATCAGAAGTTCAGAACGAAATTCAAACTTCGCACAATTAGTACTTCTTTTCAAAAGAAAGATACCATTTCCTTTATCATTAGCCACTGCAATTGTTAGCCAACGCAGTTGTTACGCTTGTTAGTCAGCATATCAATCTTTAATAGAAATCCACACAGAGGCATTTTCTATCTAGATTACTATTTGTTTTATTGAATTTTTACTTATGAATAAAGGAGACAAAAAGTTATCTAAGACCGCATATTAATTTCCGGCGTATAAAAACAAACTAACAAGAAATAGATATTGTTAGTGTATGTTCAATAGTAAATTTTCAACCAACTTTTAGTTCTTCAGTAATAATACCATTTTTATCCATAATGGGGTTTCAGAATTTCGGAAATACTATGTGTCACTTTTTGAATGAAGTCACCAGCAGCACCCAGACCGGCTTTCGCTTGATCGGCTGCTTTATTGACGTATTCCATTTTCTCGTTATATAAACTTTTAAATATCTCAAACGTCAAAGTCACATGAGCCATAGAAGCAAAGGTGTTTTGCTAAAGAGTGCATATTTCCTAATATTACACTCAATATTTTCAAATTAGACTTTATCTAAAATCACTGTAAAAACGCTAGAAAGAGGATACAGTGAACAATCAAATATAAAAACAACAGCATTTCCATTTCTTCGATGCTCAGAGTACATGTCATAGTAAACAAACATATAAAAACTACCTGCTTTTTCAAGCCGGGAGACCGCGATATTCGGATCAAGCATGTCGAGAAACGATGTTCACATAAGTTTGATGCTGAAGGCAGACAAAAAGTTTTCCTCGACATTTCTGCCTAAAGTTTTGGACGAAAACGTTTTATTTCGAAACATATCGAATTATATATCATTCGATGCAGTTTTTTTCGTAGATTCCGAATATCTAATTGGTTTTGCATAAAAGTTCTTCTGAACGTTTAAAATTTCAGTTTTTCCATTCTGTATATATATGTTCGTGTTCACTGAGAAAAAAAAGAAAAAAATAGGTTTATTTTTCTTCCCTTCCCATCATATGATATTCCACGACTTTCTTTTATATCGTCCTGCTTGGAATACAATACACAACATTCCGAATGACACAACAATGACGTCGAAAACACAACTGTTTCTCAAAAGCTTGTGAAAGAACACAAATAATTTGCAAAAAAAGATGCTTGTTTTACTAATTATTAAAGTAAGATGCTATTTCATTCATATACAAATTCAAATGATAAAAATACAGATCGCATATAAGTGTACAGAGGATACCAGTGCTTATTTCCAAGCGGGACGATTGACGTTATGTGATTTTAAAACACTTTTCAATCTATTAGAAGGAGAATTTGATGATTTACTTGAAAAGTTCAACTTGTTCGTTATCCGATTGCTAATTAACGCTCTAACTTAATTATTCTGCTAATCTTAATGAACAGAAATGCATTTATAATCAACGATGTTCATTCTATGCACAGTACTCGTTAAACACACGCGTTTTTCTTCCGCTTTTTACATATGTAATTAATTATAATATTCTGAAGACATTCTTCGCTTGAACTAGACTAAAAGCCGGCTTCTAGAAACCGGTGCACATCAAATTCTGTTTAGTCCGTGTAATTTGCACGGATTGATCCTAATTACCCCATGAACAGTAGAGTGATCATAATTACGCCAAAGCCTATATATAGAAAAAATGACTGTCTCTTTTAATTTTCGTAATTTCTCATTAATTAATTCTGGTCAAGTCCGAATGATGTGCAATTCACATGAGAAATCGAGCAAAGAATTTTCTACAAAATGAACTAATTTTTAATTTTTTTGCTTAAAATATCCGTTGAAACAAAGTTCTTTAAGTTCATCCCAGCCAAAAAAGTCATCCTTTCGCCGGCACAACGAAAGATAGACAAACAGTAATTAGAATGCTCGTCATTATAATGAAAAAGTAGAGAAAAAGAGCTGAGATAAAAAAGGAGAAACAAGTCATAATTATGCGTATACACACATGGAACGACATAAAAATAAAAGTAAATAAACAACAACAAATAGTTATATATGGATGAAGGCGCGGCTAACCATAACACTTCGAAATATTCAAACTGAGAACGAAAAGAAATATACCTGTTAGACAGAAGAATCAAAACAGAACCAACAACTTGACATATATCAAAAGTTAAAGTCGATAAACACCCGCGTGAATTTTTAGCTGATGTTTATAACTTTCAAACTCTATGAATATTTATTGCATCTCCTTTGCTAAACCAGGGATACGATAAGAATACTTTCTATCCCCGATATTTTCAAGAAATTTTCTCATGTGTTTAATCAGAAGATTGGGCTAATCAAAATTTATACTCTTTCGATAAAATGCTATATTATCTAGCTCAGAAAGGACATATTAAAGATGAATATCAAATATTCTCATTTAAACTAAAAGCGTGTTCTTTCATTGAATAGAAGCAACTTCTTATTTTGTTATCGTGTAGTTGTGGCGATTATTTTTCTTCCCACGTTTTGCAGTTTGCTACTGTTTTCAATTTTTTGAGAGTGAGAGGAGGAAAGAACAAACCATTTTTAGATTCTCTCAGTCACATAGTAAAATCATTTTTTCGTAATCAGTAATGGAGATCAAAAGGACCTTCTTTCTCGCATAATTCTTCAAATATGTGAAGAAAGCTCAGCTTTTGACAAGTGAACGGAGGAAGGCTCTGAACTGTGCGTAGTCAGTATTGCTGTGTAGTTGACTCAAGCTTACGAAGTTCGAGCCCAGGATCAAAAATCTTAGAACAAGCTTAGTAGTAGGATTTTCCGACCTGGGAGGAAGAAGGATGTTTGAAGAATGAGAAGGTTTATTTATTTCAGGGAGACTATAGCTCGTAGTTCCCGTGAACTTGATTAGATCATGTTCTCGAAGAAAAGTTCAAATAAAACACGGTGAAATCAACTGT